TCATCAAAATTGAAACAAATAAAGGCTTGAAATATTTCACTTTGTGTGCAGTGAACTAATATAACATACAAGTTTCACTTTTTGAAACAAATTATTGAAATAAATGGACTTTTCCTCAATATTCTAATTTTTTGGCACATACCTGTAAATTAATGTTCATTGATTTCAACATAGATTTGTTAAATCCTAACAAGCACACAGGAACTGAGGAGTTTATTAACACAATATACAGATGCAGTTTATATCCAAAAATTACAAAACCAAGTAGAGTAACAACTCAGCAGGCAACACTAATAGATAATATATTTACCAATGTTCTGGATAGTAAAATGACAAGTGGATTACTCATAAATGATATTAGTGATCATTTACCAATATTTGTGGTTTATGACGGCCAGTATAGAAAAGAGAGGCCTAAAACAAATTTTTTCTACAGGAGGGTGATTAATGAACATGCGGTAAGGAGGCTAAAAGATGATTTCTTGGGGCAAAACTGGAACCAGTTTACAGAGAGGATGACTTAGATAAAGCACATGAGAAATTTTTAAATATATTTAAGAAAGTATATGACAGGAACTGTCCTCGTAAGCAGTATAAATATAAAAGGAATTACAGTGGGAGACCATGGATGAGCAAGGGACTACAGAATGCATGCAAAAAGAAGAATGCGTTATACAAGCATTTCATAAAGGACAAATCAAAGAAGGCGGAAGAAAGATATAAGTCATTCTGTTCTGCATGTTTGAAAGAATAAAATCAAATCAAAAAATCAAATCAAATCAACTGCTAGCTACTAACTGCTAATGATGACCACTAATGAGCTCCACCCTGCTGCTGTTTCATCAGGTCAGTTGAACCCATGAAAGTTCAGTGTTAGGCCTCTGAGATCTGTTATGATTACTGAAGTATTTTTACCACTATTCAGAGTATAACCCAGCAAACAAACAAGGGGAGAATAGAGGCAGTGTGACTACGTTTAGTCAGTCCTCTTCTAACCCGGAGCAGAGTCAATGGGGAAGGTAGAAAACAGAATTAGCTAAAATGGGAGCCCTTAAAAAGGCTAGATTACTATTTTACTGGCCCCAAATCTTAAAAGCTCCACAGACAGCAGGACTGTTCATAACCAGAGGTTTGCTCAGTGTCGGTGGGGCATGAAGCTCTAAATACAAACCAAATTACAACAGCACATTTCTTCAGTCTACAAGCGTCAGACTTGTTTGTTGATTTATTAAGTGCATTAACACATCAGCAGGAGAAACACATCACTTAGCCTCCAGAGCCTCCAGGGCCATTTTCACTAACAGCAAGGCAGCAACACAACCACAACCACTGTTTTGAATGCATGTGATGTCCAGAGGATAAAAAGACGGCAGCTAGTCTGGAGAGGTGCACGTGAAAATAAAGCGTGAGATTAATCTCATTCAGTTGGATTCTGATGGTAATGTGCGGAGGTCTGAGGTGATTCCCAGCACAGTAACTGTGTGACAGAAATAGATCCTGTGGACTCAGTAAAACCAGAGCAGGCTGAGTAAACTGGAAACTGGTCAGTGGATTCTTTTGTCTCAGTCTCACAACAATCAGAAAGATTGGAAATGAGGTTCTGCCAAGGAATAAGAGCAGAACGCTGGGTGCAGCGTACCCACTATAGTTAGATTTAGACCTTAATTAGCATGTTGTCATATATTATTTAACAATCACTTGTATTACCTCGACAAAATAATCTTTACTCATGGCATTACTTAAGAATTTAGCAAACTACTACTGCCAATTTAATCAGTAACTTTCCTTTACTTTTTTGGTTAATCAATATATTTGTCAATGTGTTGAAATGTGTGAAAAACTAGACAAGTTCTGAGTCTTCACATGTTGTGCTTTGTCTGACCAACAGTCCAGAGCACAAAGATATTCACTGTATTGATGTAAAAAAACCGAAAAAACACTCAAACCTATAGATTCTGGGATGTGGAAGCATGAGTGTTTGGCTTCTTTTTTTTTTTTTTACAAAAACAAACAAAGCAAAGTTGCTGATGACTGTTTGTGTCTATCACTAATTTACTTTTAAATTAAATAACTTAATTGGCTAATCAGCACTAACAGATTACCTTTAAGCACTATCAGTAATATTGTATTTAAACATTTCTAATTTTCTTACATTTCCTAATGAACATTGGTAGTGTGGTCTCTGTCCATGGTGCTGATACCCAAGCACAGTCCACAAGAGCAGACACCCTCTGATATGGACAAAGCCACTGCACACATCTGCTCTTCATCACCGACATGTGTCACTGCGACAGAGGACAGTGCACATTCTGCGAGGATTTTCATCTCCATCTAAAGAATAGTGTCAAAAAGGAAAATCCAGGAGTAATGATGCAGCTGGCTGAGCTGATCTGCAGCCTCAGCTGCTGCTGTTGCTGCTTCCAGTAAAGTGCAAAGACAGTAGCATTCTGGAGAAGTGAAGGGAGGGCGTGGCGAGGGAGTCCTACATGAGAAATGGAAATTTAACAGGCGAGCATTCTGGGAAGGAGCTCTCCTGTCAGGCTTGTCCGGATGCCAGGAGGAGGCCAAGGTTCACTGCTGACCTGCCACAGAACTGCTGATGTTGGCACATATCGCGTTTCCCTCGCTCACCCTAAACATCTCTGTCTCTGTTTCTCTCTCTCTCTGCTGTCAGACATGCTCGCTCTACCTGACTGTCAGCCTCCACTGTGGATCCAATTTCACTCTCTCTACAGGGTTGTTATGGTAACCAACATTTCGACACTCAGTACCTCAGGTAGCATGAATCTGATATCTGTGCAACTCCTCAGGGTGTCGCCTCCAGCGGTGAACACCTGCAGGCTGAGACTGAGGCAGTTAAATCACATACCTGCTTTCATGGTTCTCTGCTAATGAAAAGTTCTTTCATACAGAAACAGGGACGTTTACTCAGCCAGTGGTTAAAGGTATAGTCTGCTGTTTCTGGAAACACACTTACTTGCTTTCTATCTGTACTTTACTTGAGTATTTCTGCTACCTTACAATTGGACGTGACTACATTTCTTCACCAACTGTAACACCGATGTTTTTCTCATGCACACAGATCATTCACTGACTCTACTGATCAGGAGCAAATAAACATCTCAGGAATAAAATCTTTAAATCTTTAAATCACTGAAGCTGCTTTTCTTGCCATCACAAGGAGGTGGACAGTTTTGCTGTCATTGCCACTGGGATGTGGCAGCATTCCCACATTGTTGGCAGAATTTCAAAGCAGCTGAATCAGTTACTGTAGATCTGTGTACAAAATACTGGAATTTAACCTGCACTGCCTGCCTGCGACGTACGAGATCAGAGTGTTCGCTGTGACTGAAAACGCTGCTGAATGAAGACACGAGTCGATGCTTGAGCCAACATTCTGTTTCAAGCCTGGTTGTTAATTATTGATCGGCTGCTGGCGTGGAGCCTCTTCCCCCAGACAGATGTGGCTCGACATAAACTCCCTCAGTGACGGCATCAGAAAACTGAAAACTCACAGCTACATGCAAACAATACGTCCTTTTATACTGCATCTTTCAGACATGTTGGTGAAATACAGTGAATATAGTGTGAAATACAAAAGACGTTTACATCTTTGAGCATGTCAAAAGTTGGTTAAATGAAGAATTACTTTGTGATGCAACACACGACAAACAGCCACAACTAGACAGAGATGTTTTGTCAAGCCACAAACAATTAGGATGAAAGGAAGCCGGTAGCTATAAGTCTTAACTAAAATTGAAGCAAAGTGCAGTATCTCAAACTTGTACTTGAGTAAATGTACTTAGCCTCCTGATCCTATGACCATTACATTACAACTAAGTGACACAGCAGGTGATTCAATTGTTTTCTCATGTAAAATCCAGCAGGTTCTAACAGATCTGTTGTCTCAGGTTATTCATCATGTTCATCAGACCTGTTCACCAAACAAGGAAACAGTTCACGGACAAGTGACGGTCAGGTTCCTGGATGTGAATCTGACCAATAGGCTGCTAGATGACGGAGTGAAAAACCACAAACAACCCTCGCTCTTAATCCTCTTCTCACTTGAAATTTAACGGCCTGTTGGTGGGGGAAGCCGGTGCAACCTCCTGCTGGCGTTTCCTGAATACCACATGGGAACCAAACTGAGCCGCAGCCACCCAGATGATATTAAAAGCCCAGAGCTGATGCTTAAATTCAATTATTTGGGTTATCAGTCAGACTGCAAGTCTGTCAGGAGTAGTAACAGACATTTTGAACTGCCTCAGAAAACGAAGAACCACCCGTAGAGGAACAAGCCCTACATTTCCTACTTCCTATATGTATGTTATGTGTTAATCTGTGGCTGAAGAGTGTGAGTAACACTCTCCCTGCTGTCAACACACACCTGACTCCCCAAAAGCTCCAGTGAACAGTGGTTTAAAGTGGCAGCAGAGCTGACGTGTCGACGTATTGATATCTAATTATGTAGTATGTGAAAAAAAAAAGGTTTGTAAAAGTTGTTATCAGTTTTCTTCTTCGTTTGTCTGTTGCTTATTGGATGTAAAGTAGTAATTACATTCACTGTGATCATTTTAAAGGGTCTGTTCACTCAAATGACCAAAAAAACAAGTAATTTAGTACAGTGGCTCCTAAGGACAAAGCAGACAGGGAGGAAAGCACAGACATTCAGGGAAATGAGCTCCAAATAAACAAATGCTACCAATATTAAAACAAATGTGACCTGGAAAATCCATGTGCGATAAGGACTACAACAGCAGAAGTGCTCTGGGACACCGGGGGAGCAATGAGATCATTGCTTTTTTTTTAACGTATTCATCAGTTTACTCACACGGTGATCACATGACCTCTGTCTACTGGTGTTACCCTGTAGCTGATATGATGACGTCATATGTTAGTGACAGAAACCAAGCTCTGGATTCATCACTTCATGTGTGAAGAATAAGAAAAGATTTCACCCAAAACCTGATGGCTGAGATCAACTTGGACAGAACGCTCACCTCTGCTGAAGCTGCTGTTTCTGGGATTTCAGCTGATAAAAAGCTGAGTGTGTACATGTGATGTCATGTGCAGCTCGGACACCACACAACATATGGAGCAGCCATACTGGAAGGTGCATATGTCGTGTTGCAGAGAAACGCGCATTGTCAGTTGAACAGGAAACATGATGAGTCAGCCTCTTCAGACTCATCTGGTCAGAAAGTGCTGTTCTCTCTTGTGATGAGCTGAGAAGAAGCACATTGTACTGGCCAGTAGGTGTGAGGACGACAACGCCTGTCAATAAAGTACCTACCTACCTAAATAAAGTACCTACCTGCCTCTGAGGGCGTTTCTACCCTGAGCCGAGACTTTCAGGCAGAGCAGGCTGTGCACAAATGTCATATTAATGAACCAGGAAGACTAGACAACCGATTAAAAAGCAAGTCACTCCAGGAACAGAAGAGGCTCATCAAGTCAGCTGTTGAGATATAATTAGGTCCAGTGAGAGGGCTATAATCTAAACACACTTCTCTTAGGTTTAGTCTATTTGGGAATCCTGCTTCAATACTGTAGAACAGGTACAGTGAAGTTGCAGACAACAGACCCACACATCTTTCTGGCTGTTAAAATGTCATGTGACCACAGCAGTGCTGCTTTGGTTTGGACCTCAGCAGACACTGAAACGTTTACACAGATACCTATGTATCAACTGATTTATGTTTTTAATGAGAAAACAGGATGTAAACATTTATGATTTGGGGACCATAAAAATTTGTCATTAAAGTTTGTGATTAAAATAATCACCTTTATTTGGCCAAGCATGTTACACACACAAGGAATTTGTTTCCGGTACAGAACTGAGGCAGCCATCTCTGGTGCCTACTCAACCAATGGCTCTAACCATTGGGGGCAACTTGGGGGTTCAGAGTCTTGCCCAAGGACACTTCAACACGTGGACTGCAGGCACTGAGATTTGAGCCTCCAACTCTCCAGTTGGGAGACGACTGCTCTACCCACTGAACCACAGTCTGAAGTGGACTGAACGGGACATTTTACATTCAGAAATAAACTTATCAAAAACAGAACTGCTAGTAAATTTAGCTGTGATCTAGTAAAATTTAACTTATTGTGAAGTTACTAGATTAGAAAACTAACAGCAACAAACAACATATATATTCAACTGTCATTCAAATGTGATGGAGCAACATGTTGTGGTGGTGGAAAAAAAAACAGTATGAAGATGAAATTACAGAAATCCCTCCATCTGGGACAATTATGAATGTGAGATCTGCAAAGTCAAGAAAAACACAAACAACAGGTATTTCCCTGCACGCTGGTATCGATGGCCATCTTTGGCAGATGGACCAAATAGATGGTGAAATCACAGCGTCTGAGACCGGAGAACTGAAATGTGTCCACACAGCTCTGAGACACGAATACTAATGACTGCTTCATAACATCAACACATCATCATCATCATCATCATCATCAGAGGGAAACACACACACCACAAATCTGACAACAGCGTGATGGTAACAGCACACAGACCAGCAGTGACAATCACATGAAGGGGGAGACTATTAATTACCTGAGGCTTTATTAAATCCCAGCCTGGCTGGATCCATTACCGACTAACAAACATGAACTCACAGGCCTTCAGCTCCTCAGAACCAGAAAAATCAAGCAGAGCACTTAACAATTATACACAACTAAAACACAACGAAACCCACAGCACGTGTCAACAGTATAATGGATACACCTGCTCAGGACTGTGCCACCTCGTGTCCAGAAAGTGTCCTCATGTAAAATGCTGCTGAAACAACAGAAGAATCAGCAGCACTTGTTTTATTAACTAATTATTTATTTTCAAGCTAAAACAGCAACAGTTTCAGCTTCTGATGTGAGAACATCTTCGTGTTCTTGTGTTAAATCACTAAAGTTATTATCTTTGGCTTTTTAGAGTTGGGTTCTAAGAAACTGTGATGAACATTTTTCAGTAACACCTGATGTTTTATCAACCAGATAATCAAGGACATCATCACTTCTCAACCAAACTCAGCCCACTTTGAACCTAGATGACCACATTTCATTTAACTTGCAAATCCCCAGATCAGTGCTCACTCTGGAGCATGATAAGCACCAGCAGGGAGCTAACAAGGACCACTTCAGGAGAACCACATTCAGGAGCCACTTCGCCTCTGAAGTGAGTGTGGTAACCTACTTCAGGAAAACACTATCACACTGATCATAGGCCACCTTTCCTCGGCCACTGGTTGGAGATTCACTTATGTAAGTTTGGTGAGGGAGGGTTTAAAAGTGGCCAACCTATCTGTCCGTTTCCAGCTTCCTAACACTAAAGCTAAAGCCTCAACTCAGTCAAAAAAAACAACAGAATTTTGAGGAACAAACTGTTCTGGATCACAGGTCCTGGCTGTGAAACACAACCACACAGATACAGTGACAAACAAGATGAAACTAGTCCATTCCCAACGCAATATTAGGTTAGAGCCTAATTGGAGCTTTCATTAAGGGACTGAAAACTGCTGCAAATAAGTGACTCCATTGGTTCCTGAGATCCTCAGCCTTTCCTTGCTTTCTGAGCGCTGGCCCAGGCTCCCAGCCCTCAGCTGCTCCTTATTTTCAATAAGCTATTACCAGTGATAACCGCGACAAGTCGTACATACGCAGATTCATGTACTCACACAAACGCGTGGTAGAGCAGCGCCCATCCTCTCGGCCTCTCCAGCGTGTCATAAATTAGGTTCTGGATCCTCCTCTTGCGGATGTTATTCCTCTTAGCCGGGCGGGTGTAGTTCAGGGGGGTCTTAGCCAGCAGCCCGATGCCGATGCCCTGAGATCCCCGTTTGAAGTCATCCCGCCCCGGAGCCACCAGCAGCAGGGCGCCATCCTTGTCCGCTCCTCCGGTGCCTTGGTCCAGTAAGTCCCCGGGAGGAGCGGCGGAAGGCTTCTCCGAGCCGCTAGCGACGGTCCTCGACCGGAGCCCCATGGTCAGTGCTGGATGCCCGCTGTGGGCAGCATGCCATGATCCGGGCGCTGGATTCGGAGACACCCCTCCTCAGCCGCGGGTCATTTAAGGATGCGGTCCCCGACGCGAAGGGAGATGCTCAGCAGTGTGACTGGAAAATGGAGAACAGGAGGAGGGAGAACAGAAGAGAGCGTTACATGTCCAGGTCTGGAAACCATGGGCATCTGGTACATTTCTGAGCGCAAACCGAATCATGGTAGTACAATCAGAAGATTTGTGCGTAAAAATCGCACAAAACACAAGCCCTTATAGTAACATCAGCCCGGGAGCAGTACAGTGAGAAAACACGGGAGGTGAGATCACCACCAAGTCGGGTAAACTCACTGTGAAGCCCACAGGCGTGTCGCGAGTCCCGCATTAAAGGAATTATACATTTTACGCGCGATTCTGGCGATGTCGAAACCTGCCAGTCAATAGCTCAATTTAAAACCCTAAAGGGATCGAGCATCAACAACACTTGCCGAGCAGTCCTCTGCCTTCCAGACACACACACACACGAGAGACAAAGACCTGGCATTACGGTGCTTCTTCACCACTCACGCTCTCACACACACTCACGCTCTCACACACACACACACACACACACATCTATGGGAGGAAACCAAATGAAGACAAAAACAGCTCCAGCCAGTCGCACCGAGCCCTACCAGCAGCGGGTTCCGTGCATGGCTCATGTCTCCGCTGCTTCAGCCTCCACCCACCTGCGGAGGGAGCGGCGCTGAGGAGGAGGCGGCGGAGGAAGAGGGTGGAGACGGAGGATGGAGAGCGGAGAAGCTGCCAGGAGGAGGTCGACAGTGATACTGAAGCGGAGGAGAAGCAGCAGAAAGAGAGCGAGGATCACGCTTTCATCAGCAGCAACGCAGGCGCGACGTGCGCGCGCACAGCCACACACATACACGCTGCGTGTGTGCTCGCGCAGAAAGATGATATAAACAGACAGGTGAGAGCGCGCACGAGAACTTATGTACGGTTACGCGCATGCAGTGATGCGCAAACACCTGAAAAAGATGCACACACACACACACACACACACACAGGCTGACATGACCGTGGCAGCAGTAATAATATTTAATAATGTAAAAGATTAAATAGGCAGAGGTGGCAAAATACACATTTGTTACTCAAGTAGAAGATAATATACCTGTGTTAAAAAAGGACTGGAAAAGTAGTAATGATTCAAACTCTTTACTTGAGTAAAACTGAAAGAGTACAGGCTCTGAAGTGTACTCAAAGTATAAAAGTAGCCCTTCTAAGTACATTTCTATTAGCTGTTTCTATGCAAACCTAACTGAACCTTATGACATATTAATATAGTTTCTAACTGCACATAAAACAAAAATAATCAACATTAACTAATAAAAACACATTTCAAGCCTATTAAGCCTTAAAGGATCTTTTCAACAATCCCGAAACAGAGACTAAAACATGAATTCATTGTTAATGTCTCTGTTTATTTGTCTGTGTGACCTCCGTTGCTGTTCAAAAACAGTTAACATCAGCGAGACGCAGCGTTGTTGTACTGGGGGACATGTTTCTTCATTACAAAACATGAGATCAGTACATTTGCTAAAAGCTTTGCTCCATCAAATTACCATAACCTTTTATAGCATCTGAAGTAATGTATGTCTGCGCTGTGCATGCAAGCAGAGAGCTTGTAAGAATGTAATGCAGGTGTGCACATTCTGCAGCACGTGCTAAATAAATGTTTCCCTTCAAATGTATTAAAACTAAAAACAACAACTCTGATCTGAAAATGTGAGTAGAAACTACAAATATTTGTGATAATGTAGGGAGTGAAAGTAAAAAGTTGTCAAAAACAAATACTCATGTACAGTTACCTGAAAATCTACTTAAATACAGACAAGCGTATTTGTACTTTGTTACTTCCCACTTCTGTAAATAGGCTACATAAAAGTACTCCATTACACAGCATGCATTCAGTGGTAGCCTACTTTTACAAGTTGGAACCAGAATGAAGGCTTAAAGTAGCCTATATGGTGCAGAACAGACCCAGTGTAGTTCATTGTTCTGCTACTTCATACTTGGACTTCACTACATGCCAGAGACAAATATTGTAGGATAGTTTTTACTACACTACATGTATTTGATAACTTTAGTTCCTTTTCAGAATGAGATCAATAAAACACAGTAGAATCATCAGAAATTTTTGATCCACGGTAAGAAATCCACCAGCTACCCAGCAGGATGTAAAGTACTTCACAGTACAAGTATATAATGTAGTTAACATCAGCTCCACCGTTGCCAGCTGCAGCACTAAAGTGAACACAATAATGCATCAGTCACTATGATCCAATAACATCATATACATTAATGTGAAATGGACCAGAACTACTACCGTTACATTTGGTATAGTCAACTACATTTTGGTAATAGTTTTTACTTTTTCTGAAGTAACATTTTCAATACAGAACTTTTACTTGCAACAGTTTTTACACTGTGGTATTACTACTTTTACTTAAGGATCCGAGTCCTTCTTCCACCACTGGATTTAAAACACAATTTAATACAGTAAGGGGAATGTCATAGCACACAACAAAGTACATCAGACTGTGCACAAGAATTTTATTCTTACTGTAATTGTAAGATATGACATGTCCACTGCACCTGTAAAACCTTGTCCCCCAGGTGAGCCTACCTGCTGCTGTAATGGGTCTGCTGTTGAAACGCCTGAGCCTACCTTAGGCTAACATTAGCTTATGATTAGCTAACTAGCATATTAAATCAAGGAGCTAGTGTGTCAGAGGCAAACTGAAAGACGCCTAACACTAACGTTAAACTAAGAAAGTTTTAATCCCAATTTATCGTTTTTATCAAGTATTAAAACTCTGACAACTGCATTCTTGCAAAAACTCACCTGTGTGCCACAGTCATATTTCCCTTCTTTGAGCCGAGTTCATGCTGACGGTTGCTACGTGGCGGCTTCCGAACACCCTCGCTCCAGTAGATTCCCATTGAATAAGCCTTAATACACTGCGGTCAAATCAGCCGCCGTTCCGTT